TCCTCTCCTCTCCTATTCTATCTTCTCTTCTCCCTACACCCTATTTCCCAGTGACCTCATCAGCTCCCAGGGGTTTAATTATCATCTCTTTGCAGATAACTCCTGTGTATGTGTGTGTTTATGCATATGCATACATACATACATATACATATGCATATGCACACATATGTGTTGCCGGAAGGTCCCAAATCTGTGTGTGTGTGTACGTGTACTCTAGCCTGAGCCTCTAAGTCTCCCTCCAGGTACGTAATTCCGACAACTTGTTGAACATTTCAGACTCAGTGCCCAATAAGTATCTCAGACTCACCATGTCCAAAACAGACCTTGTTATCTTTCCCCAAAACATCTGCCTCCTCTGGATACCCTGTTTCTGTAGCGGACTAGACTCTCTGGCCACCCCAGTTTGTGGCTTTGCCATCCTCCCCACTCTTTGCTCTGTGTCAGCTCAAATATGGTCACCTCTCTAGTCTTGTTTTTACATACACACCTCTCCCATGAGTTCCCTTCTCTCTACTCATGCGACCACCATCTTGGTTCAAGACTTCCTTACCTCTTGTGTGGACTGCAGCAATAGGTTTCCAGCTGGTCTCCTTGCCTCAAGTCTCTCCCCTCTCTGCCCTGTCCATCACATAGCTGGCAAAGTGAGCTTCCTAAAGTACAAGTCTGACGTCTTGTTGTTGTTCATTCATTTCAGTCATGTCCAACTCTTCATGACCCCATTTGGGGTTTTCTTGGCAGAGGTACTAGAGTGGTGTGCCATTTCCTTCTCCAGCTCATTTTACAGATGAGGAAATGGAGGCAGACAAGGTTAAGTGACTTGTCCAGGGTCACACAGCTGGTAAGTGTCAGAGGCCAAATTTGAACTCAGATCCTCCTGATTCCAGGCCTGGCACTTTATCTACTGCACCACCTAGCTGCTTCTTAACCACATCACTCTCTAGCTTTATGAACTCAAATAGTTCTGTATTGCCTCTGAAATCAGTTATAGATCCCCTAATATGGCTTTTAAAGCCTTCACAACCTGGCCCCAAGCTACCTTCACATCCTTGTTATGCACTCTTCCTCTTCTTGCACACTAAGGTCCAGACAAACTGGCCGTATTGCATCATCTCTCATCACCATGTATTTGTACTCTGTTTGTCTGGAAGGTGCTCCCTCCTCCCCTGCAGCCTCTTAGAATCCTTTGTTTCCTTCAAAACTCTGTCCAGTTTCCTTCTGTACAATACCTTTCCTGGTTTCTCAACTACTAGGGTCCCCATCCCTCACGTTGTATTTATTTTGTATCTATTTTGCATAGATAGATAGTTGATAGATATAGATATAGGTGGTCTTCTCTGATAGAATGTAAGCTCCATCAGGACAGGGGCTGTTTCATTTTTTATCTTTGTAGCCCCAGTGTCTGACACATAGTAGGTGTTTTCTAAATGTTCGTTGTTTGACTAGATTAACATTTGCATGCCCATAAATGGAGACATAGAACCGTGTAGAACAAAGGGGAAACTTATTCAGACTCTCTTAGTGCCTACAAGGCAAATATAGTGATCTATTACTGTAAAGTTGGAGGAATTGGGGATAGGAGATAGAATGGGGAAAGCTTCTCTCTACAAGACTGCTTTCTTCCTGAACACATCTCATTAGTGAAAGAAGGTGGATGAAGAGAGCAATTAGCATACCTGGTGATTCAGATAGTTATGGTTTAGGTAGTTGGGATTCCAGTAATCAAGGAGTTTTTCTCTCCCTACTGCAAAAAAAGGATTATATTATAAGGAAACATGGTCATGGGATTAGTTGATACCAGCTTCAAGTTAATTGAGGAAATTGGTATTTTGTCTTAATACAAGGTTGGTGCATATTTTTGAGATTTGGGAAGAACCCCTGAAAATAGTGGCTATGAGTTTATTCAGAATCAGGGCTACTTTTCTTTTCTACCCCCTCCCATAAAATAATATGCAGTGTTATTCACTTCACTGTGTTTGCTAATGTGGAAGGAAAGATAATTATCAAAGAGTTTCCTTAAGCTTCTCAAGCAGATGTTGCAGCTATTGCAAATGTAGCTAATAAATAAATTTTTAGATAGTTTTTCAGACCACATAGGACAAACTTGCTTCTAGAAAAAAAAATACAAATGCCAACTAAATATTTACGGAATTTCACAGTCATATTCATGTTATTTTCTTTTTTAGCTAATGACATATTTTGGAGATTCAAAGAAAATAAGACTGGCTACATTCCTGTATTGGGAGGCTTTAAAATTTTTATATTCTCATTCATATCTTTTTGCCATAAGGCAACAGTGAGATAGTTCTTTGTTTCTTTAAATTATTGTGTTTCCTTTTCCTCAAGATTATTTTTTCAGAAAGTTAGAATGAACAAAACAAAAGGCAGTGCGTTTTTTACTGCAGAAGAGAAAATGTAGCTTAAAACCTAACTTAAACTTTGAGAAAATCACTTTTTTTATTATGTAAATGTAAACAAATAGTTTCTGCTTTTGTATCACCTACATTTCCCAATGTATCCCTCCCCCTTCCTAAAGAAAGCTGTCTCTGATAATAAAGAACAAAAAATAAGGGAAAAATAGTTCGGTAAAACTAACCAGTAAATCAGAAAAGCCTGATTTTACACCCCATCTTCCACACTTATACCTCTCTCCTGCAGAGAAGCAGTAGTGGGTGGGGCGGTTAAGGAGGAGAAGGGAAGGAGGAAGTGCGTTTTCTTCTCTCTTCATGACCAAGTTTGATCACTGTGTCATTCATTTCTATTGTTTTATTGTTTTTCTTTCCATTTCCCTCGCTATAGTCATTGTGCATATTGTTTTCTTGGTTCTGCTTACTTCACTCTGCATCAGTTTATAGTCTCACTAATTTTTTGTATTCATTGTATTTAACATTTCTTATTGCACAGTAATATTCTAAGATGATTTTTCAAAGCTCTCTGATAATTTTAATAGCAGAGGATGGGATTGCAGCCATGAACAACCTTAAAGGTTGCTTTGAATTTAGGTGAATATTGTGCTTTTTGTAGAGGTGGGTTAAGCCACGTGATGTAATTCTGTCTTATCAGTTGCATCGATACAAAAATCTCATTTTCTAAGCAGATTTTTTTTACTTTGAAGTCAAGCCAATTTCTAATTAAAATATGAGAATTTCCTTCCCCTACCTTTGTACTTCAGCTTATAATAGTAAAGGAATTAGTAAGTATGGGTTTTTTTAAAATAGATTAGTCACTTATCTAGTATCACCCCAAAATTTTTTACTTCCCTCTTAGTTCTAAGGAGACATTTTTTGGCTCCATGATCCTGAGATTATATTCAAGGACCTTTATCTAGCCTCACACAAGAAATGAGGTAGTATTCCTGTAAAATAAAATATGTCCAGATAAATGCTTGGAGCATAATAGAATGTAGTATTCTAGCTTATACTAGCCAAGGGCATGATTTAAAACTCAGTCTGAAGCTAGAAACACATTTTCTTTGAAATGTGTCAATTTGGGAAAAAGTCATGCACTGATTGTTGTAAAAAGTTATTACATGTACTTCTCTTTAAAAAGTTTTAATCTTATTTTTATTGAT